GGGAGCTCAGGGGCTGGGCAGGATGGTCCCGCGGGCCCTAGTTTGCCCACCTCTGGTCTACATAGAGGATAGCAGCTAGCTGCTGCTGCCAGTTACTCCTTTAGCACAAGTGATAGGTCTGTTTTGTGGATCCCTGCTGATGACCCCTGTGGAGACCAATATCATTCCACATGATGGAACATCCATTTCTCTTTCTTCTTTTTAGAAAAAAACAAACCAAAAACTAAAATTACATACAAAAAGACCTTACATTTAAAGAATAGTGATGCTGCAAAATCAAGCACTGAAATGTTAGGAAATGCCGGAATTAATGTTATACTGGCAACCTTAATTCAACCCCTTCTCCATATGCATTATGATGCAATATTTAATTACATTATCACATTTATTGAACAGGGTTCCTTCCTCATTTAATGCATGGGATGGACAGGGTTGCAGGAAGAGAAAGGATGGTCTCTTGTGTTGAAGGTGCTGAACTGGGACCCAAAAGAGCCAATTCTATTCCTCCTCTGCCACAGACTTTCCTGTGTGATATGAATGTATATGCGTATATTCTACGCATGTGTTCTGTGGGAGTCCAAGGGGGCTGATTTAGAGTTGGATGAGTAACCTTAATTCTGGCATTTCCTAACTCTTGGCTTTGCTGTGTGAGTGTGTGAGAGAGAAAACAAAAATGTCTGTCTAAATTTATTTTTCGGGTTTTTGTCAAAAAAGAAAAAAAAACCTGAAATGTGTTCAGGCTTTTGACTAACACATCTGCTTGATGAAGTTTTGGCCAGCTCTCCTTCCTGTTTAGTACACACATGCACTGTATACTGTGTGTGTGTGTAGGGTCCTTGGGATGTTAAGGCACTTTGGGTGCGACATTTCTGCTGACTGTTGTGACACTCCTGTAATGAACTCTACATGAGTGGAACCCTGAAATCACTGGGGCTCTGCACAAGGGCCTGTCTATTATGAATGCACTGGGGTCTATTATCATAAGAGAGCTAACACAACACTGTTTTAAAGGATGCCAGACATGTTTAAAGTATCGCTTAAACTCGTCGACATTTCTCCTTCACATGTATTGCTGTTTTACATTTAGGGTTATTTAGCTTACCCATTACCTCAGTTTGGCTGAGGACATGCTGTAAAACACTACAGAAAAGGCATTTTAGGCCATGTGAATGACTTCAATATAAGGAAAGCATGACTAAGGGCTGAGAGAATGTGCAGTGAATATTACCCTCTATAGGCTGGAGAGAATTCCCAGAAAAACTAGGCATGCAGGAAATGCCTGGCTGCTAGTATAACTGGTCATGCAAGTGCTCCTGGGCAGAAAGCCAGACTCCTACAAACTCGCTTCGTGACTGCTACAATCTTGGTACATAAAGCAGTTTTAAAAAGATCTTTCCAATTGGGTGTCTGATACACAAATTAGATGAAATGACTTGTCTCTTTTTTTCCAAAAGATATCAATGTATTTTTGCTGTATTTGAAGGCCATTAGACTTCTTGTTTTATATGGGGATGGTTTAGAGTGTACAGCAGAGGTCGGTCTATTGCTTATGCGTCTTCCATGAAATGAGATTTAATTTTTTTTTCAGCCTGCAGATCTAGATGTAGTAGGAATTGCATGGGGGGAAGGTAGAGGGGAATAGTGGCGCTCTCCCAAGCTTTACCCAAGCTCCACTTAGCTAAGGCTCCAAACTCAGACACTGCTTGTAGTAGAATTGTGCATATGTTCAAAACACGATTACGCATGCTGTGCTGCCTGCTCTAGCCTTGGGTCTCCATCGGTAGGGTTTGAATAACTATAGGCAGGGGCAGAGTAAGCCAGCAGTGGCTCTCAACCTTTCCAGACTACTGTACCCCTTTCAGGAGTCTGATTTGTCTTGCGTACCCCAAGTTTCACCTCACTTAAAAACTAGTTGCTTACAAAATCAGACATAAAAATACAAAAGTGTCACAGCACACAGTTACTGGAAAATTGCTTACTTTCTCATTTTTACCATAGAATTATAAAATAAATCAATTGGAAGATAAATATTGTACTTACAATTCAATGTATAGTATATAGAGCAGTATAAACAAGTCATTGTCTGCACGATATTTTAGTTTGTACTGACTTCGCTAGTGCTTTACATAAGAAAATAAGAGCGGCCATACTGGGTCAGACCAAAGGTCCATCTAGCCTAGTATCTTGTCTTCTGACAGTGGCCAATGCCAGGTGCCCCAGTTTTACAACAGGCTACATAAAAAAAGACTATAACAGGATTCAAAAAAGAACTAGATACATTCATGGAGGATAAGTCCATCAATGGGCATTCGCCACGATGGGCAGGGATGGTGTCCCTAGCCTCTGTTTGCCAGAAGTTGGGAATGGGCAATGGGATGGATCACTTGATTACCTGTTCTGGACGTTTTGAGTAGGAATGCAATCCACTCTGGAATGAGTGAGCAGAGTATAGTAAGAAAGAATGAGACTAGAGAGAATCCAGGTAAGTTTTGCAGAGGGGAAAAAGACACTTCCTTCCAGACCTTAAAACATTTGTAAATGTGATCTTTCACGCCATCTTAAAAAGGTGGGGATAAGGGGTTAGTTTGTATACTAGAATGTATGCATCTCCAAAGGGCCCGGCACTTAACAGAGCATATTATTATGTTATCCTTCGTAGGAACTTGCTAACTAAAATAATTCTCCCCTTCACTGCTGGATTCTTGGAAGCTTGCTCTTGTTATTTATAGTTAGTCCCGTTCTCCTTTTCTTCTCTGTGTTAGGATTAACACCGTCACTACTTCTATATTATTTTGTCTTGAGAGGAATCCATCCAAAAATGTCCTTTTGTTTAGTCTCCCATGTGTCTGTTGTTGTTATAGCGTAGGGACTTCCCTCTCGTTGAAGTTATTGTGCAATATTCATTATTTTCTATCTGAAGCCCTTTACGCAGTAAAAGAAGTCAAAAGAATACTGTATGAATGGTTTCTGCATCATTCTGTATTAAATACCATTTTGCAACTTCTAAAGCAAGTATTCTGCAATGAATCACAATATGTTCCCGAGAAGTGAACTATTGCTACAACACAATTACAATAACAGGGTTCTCTTTGCTTTTCCTCCAAGAATGGAAGAACATCAGTGTCTCAAACCCTGCTGTATCCAGGCACTGGTTCTTCCTGTACTGATACCAATAGTGCGATGCAGGCCTAGTAAAGAATATACTGTTTTAAATAGGGTCTATAGAGATCAATTGCAGAGGAAAGACCGCTATGGAGTGTGATCTGTAAAGGCCTATCCTCCAGACACCTATTACTTACTATCATGAGCAGTCCCTGTGACTACTTGTGATTGTAGGCTCTACACCTGGGAAGTGTTTGCAGTATCAGTGAGACTTTAAAAAACAAATGATGGCAACTTAAATACAAGCAAGTTAATAGGAAAGCAAAGACAATGACTTCAAGAATAAAAATGCATCCAGTGCAATAAAAGTGCTGTTTATTCCAACAAAACCTGTTAGCTCTTTTATGGAGGTAGATGGAACCTTGGAAATTCAGAAGAATTTCCTATCTGATGAAGAAACAAGAAGTGAGAGTAAGATAAACACTTCCTCCGGAATGCATGACATTCCTTACTTCAGTTTCATATTCTCCACAGGATATGTATGAGTCAGACTACAGTGTGGAGAATGTACCCAGACAAAGGAATTATCGGAGGTGTGTGCAAGTATTAGGTGCTTTCTAGAGCACACCGTTAAGTAATATCCTTTCTGTGCTTCACTTCATGTGTCATTTTGTACTGACGAGCAGTAGCACGGGTGACCTCATAAATCATTCAGATGTAAATTCATCTAGACGTAATAGACTAAATCGTGCTCTTAACTACACTGAGGTAATTCTAAAGTCAGTGGGGCTTCTCTGGATTTATACCAATGCGTCTGAGAGCAGAATATGGCCTAAGTTCTTTGTTCACAGGATCTTTCTGGGAGTTGTTTAAACACAGGGTCTTTCTTCTAAATGCATCACATGATCCCTGTGTATTTGGTGGTTTCTCCTTCATCAGGAGCCAGTAGATCCTGGCCAAAGGGATCCAGATTGTACAGTGGGAGAGCAAGGAAAGGGCAACGAGATTTGGGAGTACGTACAAAGACACAAAATGCAGTGATTAAGAGGATAACTTATTTAGAATATTTGGGTGTGCTTAAAATTTTTGGGTAAGGCCAGAGTTTGGGGCAGTTTCTTTGGGCCTCATTCATTACTTTGTAACTCTAGTTTTATGTCGGTAAAAGCTGGAGTGATGCAGTGGTGAATCTGGCTCGTAGTCGTCAAATTGTTTTTTACATCTGTAATTCTAGAGACGGGGCTTAAACCAAAACCTTTTGATACAATTACCCCCTCAAACCCTGTGAGTCTTTGAAATCCCAACCCAGATCCAAATTTTGCATATTTGCCCTACATTTATAAGCAGCCAAATCAAAAGTCCTGAGCAACTGCTGCCAACTCTACTGTTCTGAAGCATCGCTACAGGTATGTCTATAACTGGGCGCAAGCCTCCCAGCCCAGGTAAACAGACTCGCGCTAGCAAGGCTTGAGCTAGCTCGCTAAAAACACCGGGTGTGGACATTGCAGCTCCAGTGGAGACTTAGGCTGGCAGCCTGAGCTCAGACCCAGGGGGTCAGGTGGGCTTGAGAGCCCAAGCTGCTGCCTAAGCCACAATGCCCACCCTGCTGTTTGTAGCTGACTAGCTCAGGTCCCGCTAGCACAAGTACCTGGACTGGAAAGCTCATTCCCAGCTGCAGTGTTGATACCTCCTATGTGGTTCCCTGAGGAACAAGGAGTTAACCCAGGCTCCCTGGGCAGAAGTGCTTAGTGGAAGAGCTCCAGGAGGGGCTGTTTGGGTGACAGAAGAAATGTCTTTGGGAAGAATTTGGAGGCTGCTGAACCCATGCTGGGGAGTGTTACTTTTCTGCTTATGTTAACTTAATTCACTTCTTTTTATAGACCTTACAAATGGCCAGTTCTTAAGGGATGCTGAGCACCTGTAACTCCCATTGATGTGAACAAGGATTTGGATATTCAGCACCCCTGAAAATCACTCCATGTCCCTTAAGGAGAAAACGCTGCTGACTACGGTTTTGTGGGTGGTGGGGGGAGGTTCCTGTTGAGTCATCCCACAAGGGTTTTCAAAATTTAGATCTGAGTTTAGGCAGCTTGACTTCATTTCTACTTGATACCAGGAGGTCCTGTACTTGAAGTTAGGACATAAAAAGAAACCTTACTTGTTATGTAGTGAAATCGCTCCTGCAAAACCATAATCGGCTACTTTTTCAAGGTTTGCGTTTGTACATTCATTTTGGAAAGCTAGTGCACTTCCTCTAAATAGCTCCGCTTCACTTCTGTCAACAGACCATGCAGCAGATGAGTGACCATCGCTATGACAAATTGACAGTGCCTGACGACGCGGCAGCAAACTGCATATATCTCAACATTCCAGGCAAAGGCCACGTTTTGCTGCACAGAGCCCCTGAGGAATATCCAGAAAGTGCAAAGGTAAAGGGAGAGTTACGAATTAGGGACTCTTCCTGTGAGTACCTCCTGGGATGGGACCGCAGTACTGTGCACGCATATGTGTGCATGCACACACATTAAACACATCAGATGATTATTTCCAGCTCCACTACTGATTTTTGTCTGACCTTATTACTTAATCTCTTTCGCCTCCTGTTGTTCCCTTAGTGTAAAATGGGAATAATTATACTTCCTCACTGCATTATTCAGGGAATTCATTCATTAATGTTTGTAAACACTTTGAGATCTTCAGATGGAAAGCAACATATAGATGCAAAGTATTACTATTTATTACCAATGACTGGCTAATCATCAAGATAATATGGGGAAGAAACAACTGTTTCAAGGAAGAAACTATTATTCACAGTGAACCAAAGAGAATGAGCTACACAATGAGTAGAGTTACTCTTTTTAACTCGCCTAATTCCTAGCAGCACACTGGAAGTGGGGAGAGGGCTGAGGAATTTTCCCCTTTCCTCTTGTGGCCCTTCCACAATCTTTTATTCTCCCCCAAGGGAAGCAGCATCATCACAGTTATGATGCCTTTAAAGTCTTGAGCGTCAAAACTGGGGTGGAGATGGGATTTGGCAACACAACTTCAAATCTGTAAATTTGTTTCCATTGTATTGATTCAATAAATAGTTGGAGGAAATGGAAGGGAGAGATGCTCAAGTGTAATGACTTTTTCCTTCTATTTCCTAACCAGGTTTTTGAAAAACTGAAGGACCACATGCTGATCCCTATAGCCAGCACAGAACTGGAGAAAGTAGATGGGTTACTCACCTGTTGTTCTGTCCTTATTAATAAAACTTCAGAATTATGAGATATAGAATCCCTCCCTTGTAACTGGCAATAAAGTACATGCAAGGTAGACCAATCTATATCCACACTTTTATTGTTTTTATTGACAATCTACTGTACCACTGTGCTACTAACCCTTGTTTACAAATGTTTTGCTTTGTGTATTTGTATGTCCCGGTAGATGGTATTTAAGGTGTATGTGTGCTTTTGCTGGGATGAATATAGTGCAATGAGCAAGCAAAAGACAACTATGATAGCTAACCCCTAGCTTTAGTGATTTACATACTCAGTGTGAAAACTACATGGGGGATATTAGTTCCTAACCATTTGCTAAGCATCTCCATTGTCTTGACACCTTTCCCATGTGTTTTACCTTTTCTCTCCCTTTCCTTTCTGCTTCATCACCCTTTTTTTCTTAAGTCTTTCCCCTATCTTCCTCTCTTTATTATCAGGAATTCAAGATATTGGTAGCTAATGAAGGACATTCAATAGAACCATGAATTTGGGCTTGTGTAGTAAGTAGGCTTTCCTTATGATGATTGAAACAGTGTGAAATTGATTATACTCCTTATTCTGGCCAGTATCGCATGGCCACTTCTGTGTAGAATCATATACTCCTGGGGCATTCTGCGCCAAAAAAATGAAAAATTCTGTGCCAAAAAATTAAATTTTGTGCGCAATATTTTAAAATTCTGCATATTTTATTTGTCAAAATAACACTACATAATCACACCAGTTTCAGGTTTCAGAGTAGCAGCCGTGTTAGTCTGTATCTGCAAAAAGAACAGGAGTACTTGTGGCACCTTAGAGACTAACAAATTGATTTGAGCATAAGCTTTCATGGGCTACAGCCCACTTCATCAGATGCATAGACTGGAACATACAGCAAGAAGATATTTATACATACAGAGAACATGAAAAGGTGGAAGTAGCCATACCAACTGTAAGAGGCCAATCAATTGAGATGAGCTATCATCAGCAGGAGGGAAAAAAAACAAACTTTTGAAGTGATAATCAAGATGACCCATAGAAGGTGTGAGGATACTTAACGTGGGGAAATAGATTCAATTAGTGTAATGACCCAACCATTCCCAGTCTCTGTTCAAACCTAAGTTAATTGCAGGGCCGGCTCCAGGCACCAGCTTCTCAAGCAGGTGCTTGGGGCGGCCGTTCCGGACAGGGGCGTCCGTTCCGGACAGGGGCGGCAGTTCCAGGTATTCGGCGGCAATTCGGTGGAGGGTCCGTCACTCCGCCTGGGAGTGAAGGACCTCCCGCCAAATTGCCGCCGCAGATCGCGATCGCGGTCTTTTTTTAGATCGCGATCGCTGTCTTTTTTTTTTTTTTTTTTTTTTTGGTTTTTGGCTGCTTGGGGCGGCCCTGGTTAATTGTATCTAATTTGCATATTAATTCAAGTTCAGCAGTCTCTCTTTAGAGTCTGTGTTTGAAGTTTTTTTTGTTGCAAAATTGCCACCTTCAAGTCTGTCACTGAGTGGTTAGAGAGGTTGAAGTGTTCTCCCACTGGTTTTTGAATGTTATGATTCCTGATGTCAGATTTGTGTCCATTTATGCTTTTGCATACAGACTGTCTGGTTTGGCCAATGTATATAGCAAAGGGGCATTGCTGGCACATGATGGCATATATCATGTTGGTAGATGTGCTGGTGAATGAGCCCCTGATGGCGTGGCTGATGTGATTAGGTCCTATGGTGGTGTCATGTGAATAGATATGTGAAAAGAGTTGGCATCGGGCTTTGTTGCAAGGATAGGTTCCTGGGTTAGTGTTTATGTTGCATGGTGTGTGGTTGCTGGTGAATATTAGCCTCAGGTTGGGTGCTGTCTGTAAGCGAGGACTGGTCTGTCTCCCAAGATCTGTGAGAGTGAGGGATCATCTTTCAGGATAGGTTGTAGATCTCTGATGATGTGCTGGAGAGGTTTTAGTTGGGGGCTGAAGGTGACGGCTAGTGGCATTCTGTTATTTTCTTTGTTGGGCCTGTCCTGTAGTAGGTGACTTCTGAGTACTCTTCTGGCTCTGTCAATCTGTTTTTTCACTTCAGTGGGTGGGTATTGTAGTTTTAAGAATGCTTGATAGAGATCTTGTAGGTGCTTGTCTCTGTCTGAGGGATTGGAGCAAATGCGGTTGTATCTTAGAGCTTGGCTGTAGACAATGGATCGTGTGGCATGTCCTGGATGGAAGCCGGAGGCATGTAGGTAAGTATAGCGGTCAGTAGGTTTCCGGTATAGAGTGGTGTTTATGTGACCAGTTTCAGTTATTTTGGTAATTTATTTCAAAATACCTGTCAGCAAGTATGTCTATAATAATACAGACACACACAAAAATTCCCCCAGGAGTGGTGCATTAAAGAAACCCCTATGACAACCCAGTTCCTGTTTCTCTGCCACCTTTGCACCCCAGAGCCCAGCTGCAGGGCCCCCCCAGCCAATACACCTGAACCCCCTCCCTCCCCAAGCCCAGACGTGGGTTCCCCTTAGCCCAGATACTAGCACCCTTCCCCCCCCAGAGCCCAGCCATGGCCCACACATCCTGATGCTCGGTCCCAGGCTTGCAGAGAGTTTCCTGTGCACCGTCCTCTTCTTCCCTCAGGGTGTGCTGGGAACTGCAGCTGTCAGCGGTGGCCAGCAGCACTGCAGCCCATTTCTGTGGGGGAAAGGAAGTTCTGCATGCACACGAATTTCCGCAAAATTCTGCATTGCGCAGTGGTGCAGAATTCCCCCAGGAGTAGTCTTGATTAGAATCCATTTCAGATTGCAGGTGGCAGCTTGGGAAAGCCTCTCTATACAGGAACATTAAAGAGGTATGTGTCTCTGATATGCTTGACTGATGGACAATCTCCTTTCCTATAATTCAATCTAGGTGTGCCCAGGGGTTCAGACTCCCAGTTTGGTTACCTTTCTTTCAAATTGGGTGGAATGGAAGAGGCTTGTACGTATGCCATATATCAATCATCTTCTAAAAAGCCTATATTTTTGTGATCAGGTGGACCACAGAAATTAATGTTTTGAGTTACTTGTAGAAATGTTATATTACAAAAGATATTTAGAAATATATTTTTATCTTTTATATGTATTTTCATTTCAGCCTCTACCTATTATGTTCTTTCCTCTTTTGGAGTGAAGTTATTTTTCCCACTAATCAGTATAGTTCTTGTCTTCTGTAATTATGTCGACAATTTACTAGCAAACCTCAAAACAAAGGAATGGTGGTAGAATTAGCTGAAGGACATTATTCCTGGAGTATGTTCATGAGTAAGGGAAACTTGTTTCCCAGAAGGCTGGCGGCATATGTATTTGATCTGTCCTTGGGGATCTCGTTGGAATAATGGCCATCTGATTTTTTTTTTTAATTGCATGAATATCTATTGTGGTTATCAGTTAAAACAAATATATTTGTTGTGGCAAATTCCACAACATGCTTGCCCACTGACTCATACATATTTTACGACAGTAAAGTGAATTATAGATAGTAGTATTTACATGACGCTTTTTAAATCATTTGTAAACTAAGAATGGAGAAATTTCCAAACACAAGCAGCGGTGGGAATTGTCCGGAAGGCTGACAAATAGTCTGAACACTTTATCAACTTCCTAGTCATCTCTTTCTTTGCCTGCCTGTTTCTCTATTCCTTTGTCTGAGGTTTTCAGTTTTTTCTGATGGATGAAGCAGGAATGTATCAATCTAAATCTCTCCTTCTGTCCCCCTTCTCCTGTAGTCCCTCCATTTTTCTCCTCATCCCTTTACACTCTCCTTCTTTCTTCCCCTCCATTCATTTGCAAATGCCCTCATTCCACCCGGACCTTTCCTAATGTAACTCTCCCATGCCCTCTCGCATAGATGCCAGGAGAGAAGGAACTGATAGACCCACTTTGTTCCCCTAGAATCTGACAAAGCCTGTCTTTTCCCTGCAGAGGGAAGGGGGAGCCTGCAGCAGGAGCTGTATCTCGGGAGGGGTGTTGGAGTGACTCCTTTTCTCTTGTCTTACACCAGAGGAGAGGAAGGAGTCAGTAGTGGTGGAGGCCGGTGGTTTCTTGTATTCTTTCTCCCCCTGAGGAGAATGGAAGAGGTGGCAAGTAGTTTCCTTCCTCTACTTCCCCCTTTGAAGGGAGGGAGAGTTAGTGAATGGACAGATTGTCCTGTAGAAGAGGTAGTTAGGGATTCATGGCGAGGTGCCTCTTATTCTCCTGTAGCTGGAAGACCAACAGCACCTAACTGCTGAGAAGGGTGGGAGCCCCAGAAACTTCCTAGTCAGGCATTATTCTTCATGCTGCCCCCACTCCTGATTCCCCTGTCTGGCAAGTCAGGGCAGCTAGGGAGATGGAGGGTTGGGGGACCTGGGCCAGGGAGAGCAGGAGAACCTTTCCCTCTGCTCTTAGCTTTTGCCTTTACTTTAACCCTGGCTCAAGCAAAACCAAAACAATGGCTGTTTTTTGATGCAACATGTATATGGCTAATGAGCAGCCTGCACATCAAACATTCTTATCACTGCAACATTTTTCAGATGCCTGATGTAGATCATTGTCCATAACTCAGGCCTGCACAACATGTGGCCCACGTGGGCTCACTGTGCGGCCCGCGGGGATTGAGTAGATGGGCTCACTGTACGGCCCGCAGGGGGGTGAGTAGGCAAGCGGTGGGTGAGGGAGGGGGGCTGAGGAGGCAAGTGGGTGGGCAGTGGCGGGGAATGAGTAGGCGAGCTGGGTGGGTGGAAGGCTGAGGAGGCGAGTGGGCGGGCAGTGGCGGGGGGCAAGTGAGCCGGCGAGCCAGAGGGGTGAGGGGCTGAGGAGGCGAGCAAGTAGGCAGTGGCAGGGGGTGAGTAGGCGAGCTGGGGGAGGGGGACTGAGGAGGCGAGTGGTGAGTCGGTGGCTGACCTGTTCTACTGATCTGGTCTGGCTCCCATCCCCTCTCCCAGGGCTGTCTTCAGGCACCAGCAAAACAAGCAGGTGCTTGGGGTGGCACATTTCTAGGGGTGGCATTCTGGCACCGGCCATCATAGATGCCGACTCCGGGGCATGGGGAAAAAGTGCCCTCGCTGCCCCAGCTCGCCTCCGCCTGCTCCCCTGAGTG